TTGTCCAAAATGGCTACAACTTTATTATCTTAAACTCATGGTGGGCYACATCCATCACTTCAAAGAACGGTGGTAGGTCTTTAATGTTTTTGTCGCGTCAGGAGCAGAGACCTGAACTTGGTGCCGGTCTGAGAGCACACACACAGGGGAGTTTGTGGTTATTAATACACGCAGCAGCAGGCCGTAATGTGGGTCAAACGTGTTGAAAGCCACGTGGCCGAGGCAGAGCGGACCCGCCTCCCTCACGTCCTGACATTCAAGGGGCGGCAGGGCGTCTTGAATCAGCTGTGAGTCTGGAAAAAAGGGCCTCTGGTGAGTCTCCCAGCGACAGGCGTCCTCGGCCGGCTGGAGCTGCGAAGCCACACGGAAAGGAGGTGTGCTCTTCGTGTTCTATGTGGCCGTAATGAGAATGCCTGAGCATTTCAGATTTACAGTCTGTACAACACAGACATGAAAGACTTCATCTGGATCTTTTCTCACTTTGAGGAAAAAGAAAAGCAGTGACCCTTCATGTTCTCAGAGCTCCACCGCTTTTATTATGACTCTTTTTGAGCAATTTGGCTCAAATCTCACAAGTTAAAACTGTGCACCAAGGGTTTCCTTTTCCTAACTTTGTCCTTTTTAACTTCATTTTCTTTACATACAGAGAAGCTTTTGTGATCTAAACATGATCTCTCTTTAAAGTAAAGCCCAAAGCTGATTATCTCTGATTGAAGACCCTGAAATTACCTCCAGATTTGGTCGAATAGTTGACTTAATGAAGGGCAGCTAATGAAGCGGAGAGCTATGCTTACATCCCATCATTAACTTCCCTTTACTCTTATGATGCTTTTAGGTTTTTTATGAGAAAAAGAAACACATGAAATGCTTTAACTTGACTTTTGCCGTTAAGCTGGTGGTTTATTAGCCACTAAAGCATCTTTTCAGGATCATTCTCTCACATTCTAAAACAATTTGCAAAGACGTGGTATTTTATTTGCTCTCTGCGCTCTGTTTTTTCCAGATTAAGAGCAGCATTACTCAAGTTGTTTAATCTCGCTCCCTTTTCCAGATGGCAACTATTTGAATAGGCATGCAAACCTCTTTAAAAAAATGTAAAAAAAAAAAAAAAAGGAAAACTGCTTCACATCCTGAGCTTTAATCTGACGAACAAACAAAACTGTTTTTACTTTACTTGAATAAACATGACCTTACAGATCATAAACAGCAAATTTGGGTAAAAGAGTCCCGTGTTTTTGCCTCTTGAGGTGCTGGCAGGGGACAGAGCCGCCATCGACTCGGTGCTGTAATGTCTGAAGACACAAAGAGAACCATTCAGAGAGGCCATATTCCACACCCACACAGTCAAGAGGACACCCCAGCCCATCCAGAACACGAGTCATTATAGGATGCCAAACAAAGGGGAAAAACAGCCTTAAATTCCTCAGAGAACTGTACATCTCCCGCCTCCTTCTCCTCCTTTCAAACAGAGTTTTCAACCAAGATCCTATTATAATGAGCAGGAACAGAGCTGCAGCTGTTTCGATCACAAGTTGTAAATAAAATACATAATCTCGTGTTAGATCGGACACCATCAGCACCTGTTTACACCTCCCCTGACCTGTAAATCCACACCGGCGGCACGGAGAGAAGGGCTTATTGATTTAACTTTTGAAATATTCATGTGGAAACGCATTAAAAACAGTTTGCAGTCATCAGCCGCTCYCTCTAAATAATTCATCGTGTAATGGGATTCTGGAGGACAGTCAGTTGGCTTAAACCTCGGCCAGCTGTTGGTGTATTTGTTCAATATCCTTTATGTCAAGCGTAATTTCCTCCCACTATTACATCACTACACTGCACTAGTTGCCAACTTTTTTGCCAACTAGTTTTGACTAGCTGAAACAAAGGGTGAACTTGACGCCCATTTTCTGCACCGGTATTCCAAAAGTCCCAACAAGCTGACACTTTTCATTGGTTTTATTAGTTAAGTCTGTTTAAAAATGGTTAACTAGTGCAACTGTTTGTTAGTTAACTAGTGAGGCTAAATGTGTCAATTACTGTGAGTTTTGTCCGTTACTAATCAACTAGTAAGAGCAAATTTAATTACACGTCATCTCATTATTATTTTAGGCTTTAATAGTTTACTAGTGCAGCTAAAAGGATTACTAGTCAGGGGCGGAGCCAGAGGGATGCCACGCCCACAGGACTGACAAGTGGGGGTGGGGATCGCTTGTGGCAATAAAAGATGGTCAGTTAGAGAAAAAAACAGAGTAAGTATCTAACATGGACCTGTGTTATCTAGAGTTGAAGAAACCTATTAGTGTGAAAAAAATCCTTTCTAAACCACTGAATTAATATGAAGCAACAATTACACCACCCAAAATTATTTCAGCTCAATATTTATTTAAGAAAATAGCTGAATTTTAGTCATTTAGTTTAGTTTAGTTAATTAATTTATTTGTAAAACAATATAAATTCAACAAACAACAAGAATACAAATCATAAATTAAATGAAAGGTAGCAGAAGAAGAAAAAAATTTTATTATATCTGCCCCTTTTTCTCAAATAAATAAATTCAATCAAAAATAATCTTCAGTTTACAAAAAAAAGAAAAAGAAAAAAGCTTTAACTCATTGAACAACAATTCTTACATTTACATATTTCTCCAGCAAATTAACTTTTATCGTTCTCTTAAATATACCCATCATCTGGCATTTTAAATGTCATCTTCCAGATTATTTCATAATCTTATAACCTGGACTGAAGTACGATCCTTTAAACTGGTTCTAACTCAAACATTTCTATCTCATTTTGGATTCTTTTGTTTGAATTTAGAATCACTCTCAGCTAKCACCACACTGAATTTCAGGTGAATATATTTGAAAGCTTAAAACTGAGATTTCAAAATGACATGGGGATTGTTCCTGGCTACCACCTAGCCAATTTCAACTCAGTATTTCTAAAAAAAAATTTGCAGAGGTATAATTATTTGAAATTAGCTTCAGTGGTCATCTTAGATTTTGCGTTACGACTTTGTGAAAGATTATTCTCAGCTTCTAGCTACTACATTTTCAGCTGAGTTGAATTACTGTATAGCTCTTTGCAAAATTAGCAGTTAGCTTAAATTGGGACTAGAATCATGGCAGACATTATTTAAACTTAGTTGTGATTGCCATCTTAAATTTTCAAATCCAGAGTAGTTTGTTTTATTTACATGAGCCCCCCTAGATAACACCTTGACCATCCCTCGCAAAAAAAGTCTTAGCTCCGCCCCTGTTACTAGTTAACTAGCAATGTCAAGAGGGCATATTTGACTGCTGAGTATTTAGGTGTTTACCAGTTGATTAGTGCACAGTGCACATGTAGAAACTAGTAGGCATTTCTCATAGATTTCTGYCCATACTAGAATCGCAAGTCGACTATTTGAGAAGTTTTTGCCACACTAGTTAATAGAGGTGTCAATATATCGATTTGAATGGTTCGTGATTCTGTTATATCGAYGCAAAATGAAAATATCAATCCATATCGTCATCATYTGCTCGATGTGAATCYATATCATATGCCAATCTAACAGTCATTGTGTTAGATGGGCATGTGATATTGCATTATATCYATCACAGACACCCCTACTAGTTAACTAGGCCAACAAAAATTKAGTATCCTTCCTATCTAGTGTCATTATCACAAACTAGTTCAAAACTACACTGAAAAGTTTCACATTTGGGTCTCGCTAGTTCAACAAACTCTCAATAATAACACTACTCTGCCAACTAGTAGTYCTTTTGACTAACTAGTTAAAGCAAGAGTCATAATTGAAGGCCATTTTTCTGCACCAGTATCCCAAAAGTCCAAACTATAGTGTCAGCCGGTCAACTATCTGAAACTTTTTTGTTGTTGTTTAACTAGTCTGTTTAAAAACTGTCAACTAGTTGACTAATGCGTYCATTTGACAGTCACTAGTTGACTATTAGGCATAAGCTGTGTAGACTAATTAACATATAAAGAATTCTGCCACTTAATTAACAAACCAGTTGTCTATATTGGTCCAGCGGTGAGTTAAAAAGCCATCACTAGTAGTTTCTGCTCCTACTAGTTGAGCAAAGAACTGTAACTAGTAACAGTGACTGTTGAATTATTGCACAAAAATGTTGAACCAGTGCAGTTCAGTCAAGAACCGATGGGTGAAAATTTACACTCGATAACAGGWTATTGAATAACTACAAACAGCTTGTCATATAAACTTGATGTTTTCTTGTGTCGTCTGTGTTTTAAGCTCTGGTTCTGCAAATTCTGATTAAAGATGAACATAAATATTTTTTAAAAAGTTGAAACTCAATTACAGGTTTTATAAAGCACTTACCTTTTAAACAAAAATATTGTGCAAAACACAAACGCTGGAGGCAAATTCCTCCTACAATGTGGTTATTAAAGTTTGTCAAGTATTTATGAGCCCATACTGCCCCCTGCTGATCAAAGACACCCCAATTACATATGCACCAGAAGCCTTTTATTAGACAGAAATAAGCTTATTTGAAGGGGCAATATTGTTTCTCAGGCATACATTTAAATACTATACCCTAATAAAGTATCTATGTCACATTTAGCTGTTTTATGTTTAAATAGAAAATAAACTTATCTTCTCACTTCCTCTTCTAAACGCCTTGAAATTGGCCTCTTGTCTCTTTAAGAACCACCTTCCGCTTCTGTCCTGTCCATTTRGGTTCTGAGTAATAACTAATGTTGAGAGCTCAGCAGACAGTTTAACTTTCACTTTCACCTGAGAGCCTGCAGGAGTCATGGGCGGGGTGAGTGAGGAGAGGGGCGGGGGGCACGAGGAAGCTCGGCTTAAAGACACGTCACAGGGGCGTTTCTGGTCCCCACCTGTCYTTTTGCTCCTCAGCATGGCTGCCTAAAAACGCTGCAGGATTTCTGAAACATGCATGAATGAGTCAGAGCAAGACTCTGGGCATGTTTTTATGAGAGTATAACATTATAACATGATATAAAACTCAAAAAAGTTGATTTTACATGATATTGCCCCTTTAATAAATGACAATACTTGGAGGAAAAAACTAATAAAATGCCAGTCAAGAACACAGACAGTGATATCTGTCCTGGTTTCACACTTTTGGTTGAAACTGAAGGAAATAACAAAAATATACCTAAATACAGTATTTGTATAAAAAACAGTATTGAAACAGTGTATATTYGTTAAACTAGACAAAGTTATTTTACATCCTAGCTTAGCTAAACTTTCAGGTAGAAATTAGAAAAGTGAATCTGCTATAAATCATTAAATGTGGGGGGTCATTATTTCCATTTTCAATAATCCCTCCTGGATGTTTTCCTTTCCTTTGGCAGTACTGTTAACGGTTTTTGCTGTTTTAGTCGGTTTCTCCCCCTTCTTTTTCTTCGCTTCATCCTTCTTCAACGTGCCCTGGACGTCCGCCTCGGTCTCGGTCTGCTCCTTGACGGTGACCTTCTTCAGCTTGACTTTGCCTTTGAGTGGAGCCGAGAACGTCAGMGAAGACTTGTGGAAGTCCAGAGGGAAGATGCCCACGTCGCCGTCGAAGCGGTTTTTGGTGACCTGCAGGGATCTGCGGCCGGGACACGTCACCAGCTTCTTCTCCTGCAAAATCAGGACGTTGTCCGCCTCCTGGCTGGCCTAGTGGAGGGGTTAAAGGTCACYATGGGAGTTTGTGTTATGTTTCTTTTAAAGTACAACTTTCCTTGACGTACCTTTGCAGAACCAAAGATGGAGGCYGTTTGTAGATCCCGGTCGTCGTCCTCTTTCCTCGGGTGGATGATCAGAGTGACGTGGCAGCAGCTGGTGGTGGCAAACTTCCTGAGCARGCTGATAATGTGGTCCTGGAGTGCAAACCTACGTCACATAAATAAAATGAGGATGAACGAATGATGAAACTCTATCACTATCTCCATCTGATTAACTTCCACTAACTTGTCCACTGAGATGTTCTCATGTCCCATCATGAACTGCAGGTTGTCTATGACCACATGGTGGATATCATACATGTAGACAGCGTGTTCCATGGTGTCCAGCACTGTCCTGAAGACAAAACGTCAGAAAATGGATCCAAACCAGAAACAATTTATGTCAAAAGGCAGTGAAAGAATTAGTTAACTGAAACTGAGTAAAAAGAAGCTGAACCTAAAAACGCTAGCTTGCTAAAAAGAAGAAAAAAAGCTACAGAAAGCTAATGTAGCTAAAGCATTGTTTAGCAAACCATAAAACTAGCTAAAGGCGAAAAGTAACAACACAGTAGCTAAAAGTAGTAAAAGTTTAGCTAAAAGTACAGAGTAGCTAAAATTCACAAGCAGCAAAAGTTTAGCTAAAGCTCAAAGTGCCAAAAGATTAGCTTAAAGCTAAAATGGCCAAAGGACTGCAAGAACAGCAAAAGTCTAGCTAAATGCTAAAAACCTCAAGAAGCTGAAAAACAAAAAGTAGGCAAAAAGCTACCTGAAAGCTAAAGTAGCCAAATGGTTGCTAAAATAGCAGAAGCTTAGCTAAATGCTAAAAGGAGGAAAAGACCTGCTAAAGCTAAACATACCAAAATGCAAGCTAAAATTAGCCAGGTGCTAACTAAATAGCAAAAGGCTTGCTAACATAAAGCTAGGGAAAACATTTTAAACACTGAAGTAGGCAAAGAGTTGCTAGAAATTGCAAAAGCCTATCTAAAATTAAGGAAATGCTAGCTGAAAGCAACAAAACAGTATCTAGAATTTAAAAGTAGCAAATGTTTAGCGAAAACCTAAAGTGCCATTGACAAGTATCAAAGGTCTAGTTAGATGCTAAAAGTATCAAAAGCCTAGCTAAAATTAAGGAAATGCTAGCTAAAAGTAACAAAACAGTATCTAGAATTTAAAATTAGCTAATGTTTAGTTAAAACCTAAAGTGCCAAAAGACTAGCTAAAGTATCAAAGGTCTAGCTAGATGCTAAAAGTATCAAAAGCCTAGCTAAAAGCTAAAACAAAAAACTAACAACCCAACAGCACAAAAATGGAGATATTTGACAAATCTGGACAAAAACAACTTAAAAAAGAATCAGTTCAGTAAAACCCATTGATCTATATTATTGAATTGGACATGGCTTAAAGCCGCTATAGCTAYCGATGCGCCACCATAGGAGCCATTGCTATGCATTGAGTCATGTCAACAAAACGGTAGAGTTTCAATGTGGGATGCACGTCAGTTTGTCACAAAAATATTCATAGCACCCTCATTTCTTATCCGATTTCTATAAAATATGGCTTAAATTAAAGCTGAGAAAATTGCCGATGTTGTGATATGTAAAACATATGTATTTGCTCAAGAGATAAATCTATAAGCAGTCTGGGAACTTTTCATTATATGTTTTTGCTAACGTATTTACAGTAGAAGCCCCTTTCTGTCACATAAAACTAAGAGTCATGTGTGTCATATATATATATATAATTCTAATTTTGCATTTGTTTCCTGGTTCTTCATTCATGCTGAAGTGACTAAAGACAAATTCCTCCAGCTGGTCATAAGATAAAAGCGGACGGCCCCTCCACCGCTTAGCTTATGAAATGTACGGTGGAGGGAAAAATTTACTGAGTTTTTTACTCTGATATATAATCACAAACTACAAGATATACCATATGCTGACTGGACAGAAGAACATCAGTACCAGTAATATCTACACAGTTCAGCCTAGTAGTAGTAAAAGTAATTTTACTGTTGTCCATTATATTTACCTCTCACAATGTTATCCTAACATAATAACAATAATAATAAAAATATAATTATTTGTTGGAACAACAAATTTGTCTTTTCGTTGGTTTACCTGACATAAGGTAGTCAAAATCAAGCTGCATAACTGACCTACTTTCCACATCTCCGACATTTTTTTTAAATAAAAAATATTTTAATGACCTGTAAAATGTGATAACCTTGATCTTGGGATCTTGTTGTTGTAGTGTTGACAATTTATGGCAACATTGCATCCCTTTTTTGATACTCCTTGCATGACTGTCTGCTGCATCCACTTTTTACCACCATTCATGGATGTTCCCGAGTCAAAACTCAATGCATAGCAATGGCAACTGTGCTGCGCACGATAAGTCACATGATGTCCAATCCAATAATATAGATCAATGGTAAAACCCTGCTGGAGCTCACTTGATGTTCTGCTGCCCGTGGAACGTCATGAAGTAGAGCGGCAGCTCTTCGAATTTGTCGGCCCAGTAGTCGTACTGGTCCATTTTCTCCTCCAGACGCTGCATGGAGAACTGGGTCAGCATCATCTTCGCCAGACGGACGTTGTTGATCTCAAAGCTGCCCCACAGCGTGTTGACGCCCTGCATGCAGAGATCTAACGCCAACTCGCTGATGAACGTGGTCTTCCCACTTCCAGTCGGCCCTGAGGAAGAATGAGGGAAAAGACATAATAAGTCTGGGCAATATGGCTGAAAATGTATCACATCATAAGCGTTTCTAGTCTTGTTGCCTTTTTCAGTGCTTAAATCTTTGAAACTGTGTTTAAATTATATGTGAATAAGTCGAATTGAATCACGGAAGCTTTTCTTTCAAAACGGTGATGAAACAGTGTGATTATTTACCCGTGAAAACTGTGAGTTCTCCKTTTCTGTGTCCCTTCAGGATCCGGTTGAGTTCTGGAAACCTAGTCCACTTCACTCCAGCCACATGGTCCGTGTTGGCCAGCTCGCCGTACACGTCCTCTCTGAGCTGTTTGAAGGAAATGATGGACTTGTGGGCCGCCAGGATGGAGGCTTTCACAATCTGGCTCAAGTTCTTGTTTTGGGACAGCGCCTCCATCGGACACGGCTGGAACTCCCCGGGCCGCACCAGCGCGCACCTCCTCAGACCCAGCTTGCGTGAGAAGATCTTCGACGCCTCCCAGGAGCGAATGTCACTCCCGAGCCACAGGGTCACGCGCCTGAACTGCTCCAGGTAYGGCAGCAGGGCCGGCGGGAGGCAGCTGACCCCGCGAGGGAGCGCCACGCTGGGGAGACTCGTGGCCTGGCTCACGGCCATGGTGTCCAACTCACGGCTGGTTAACACCACCTCCGAGTCCGAACTGGTCACCAGGGGAAGACCAAACAAGTAGGAGCTGCACCTCGGGACAGTAACTTCCTTGTAAACAACCTCATCTGTGGCGGTCGTCTGGGCGGAGAGGAGCTTGATCCCCTTCAGGGAGGAGTGAGGACCACCAAACCAGGGGAAAACCAGACTCTTGGTTGGCTTGAAGAGTCTGACACCAAACTTTTTAAGGGTTGCATTTGAGATTTTTGTCATCTGAAGAAGAAACAGCAAACCGTCAACAAACGAACAACCAAACAAGATGTGAACACAAGACAGTTTGAGTACCTGGAACATGGTTTTAATCAGTTGAGCTACGTCRTCGGGGAGATCCGTGAAAGGCACAGAGCTGGACCAGATTTCTTGCACCTCCCTCAGCTCTCGCTCCGTCTCCTCCTGCTCCTCCATGCTCTCCGGATACCCCAGCAGCACATGGGGGTTGAGGAAGTCCTGCTCTTCCCTCTGAATCACCTCCAGACAGTCCTGGAGGTCCTCCCAGCTCCCCTCGACCAGCGTGTCCTTACACAGAAACCGTCCAGTTGTCTTGTTGATGAACAGAGAGTAGCTGCTCTTCCTTGTGGACGGATCGATGAAGATGCTCGGGACGTGGAGGCAGCTGTAGCCATCGTGGAAGGGAACGTCTTTAGAGCGTAAGTACTGCTTAATGTCTGTGACCGAAATGGGACCTGAAGGGAACTCTACGGTGTACTTTGTGTCCTTTTTATAGTTCCTGATCACCTTGTGTGCGAGGAAAAAGCTTGTACGTCCGAGTCTTTGGCTCCATAGTGTCTCTGAAGTCCTGTTAAGGACCCTTTGAGTGAGAAGGGATGAAACATGTCTTTGAAGGAGCAACTTGTGGGCTCCCACCTGCAGAAGACAGGCGGTGCTCTCCAGCTTCAAGCCTCTCCACATTGGTTACCTAATTAGCACATTTTACCAGCAAAATAAACAATAAAATAAAAAAACAAGGCCAAAGTTAGCACCATAATACAGTTGCAAAAAAAACCCTTTTTTGTCAGATATTCTGCACAAGACAGACAAGACAAGACAGTGAGGCAGGAAATTCGTATTTTCGTAGCAAAACGAACCCAATTTTTGCATTAAAAATGAACTTTAAGAAACATGAAATCATTCCCTTAAAAATATAATACATTTTATAGATGACAAAAAGTACGTCTTTTTTTTTTTTACCTCTGTAAAGTCTGACCTTTTTTTCTCCCATGCTCCAAAGCAAGCATGGATTGTTGGTGCGCCTTCTAAACAAGTTCGTGTGAAACAAACAAGTTCCGGTTAACGCTCGAAAAAGTTAAAGAGCACACTTTGAGAGATCAAAACATATATATTTATGGTAATTTACACATAAATATCAAATATGTAAAATTTCAATAAAAACATCTCTAGACATACGTTAGCTGACTACAAGGAAGGTTTGTCTCAACCGTAATGTTTTTTGTTTCTGGCCGGACTCTTATTATTGACGGACCGCGCTAAAAGCGTCCTCCATGACTTTTGTAACCACTAAATTACCAATTGGGTTAGCAACAGCGAGCAGTAGTTTGTTTTTACACATCAAAAGGTTTATTTAAAGTAGGACGATGACCTCCAGAGGGACGGCGAGTCGTTTCCTTCAAAGTGTTCTTCAAAATGGTGTCGGTCGATACGTTTGTCAGCTGAAACGAGTCGCCCTCCTCTTCTCCAGGAGAGGAAACGGCTCACTGGGAGTCAGGTAGTAACAACAGGATTATTAGGAATTACCAGCGTGTTTACAGTGATAGTGTTAGGAATTAATGTGGTTAAATATTGCTGGTATAAACTTAAGGCCCAGTTCCCACCTCAATAGAGCATAAAAAAGTATATGACCCATGAAAATGTCTTATTTTTGAAGTAGGTAGTTCGAAAACATGAACTAAGTATTTTGAGTTGTTGAAAAGTCATTTTGCTCCTTCAGAAAAGTACAGCAGCTTTTGTTGGCGCAAAAGTTCAAAATTATACCTCAAAAAACTTCATGTGCTTCATGATGAATGTGTTTCTCTCTTTATGTTTCTATTTTTTTATTTTACTATTTTTAAATGATATGGACTTTTTTTCTGAGATAATAATCAAGTCTAAACATATCTTCAGGTAGACAAACTACCAGATGACAGAGGGAATTCTGGGTACATCTCTCTCCACAGCTACTGATTCCAGCTCCGTTGGAAGACTTGGTCTCTCCAGCGTGTCCTGGGTCTAAAATTCCTGGGATCTCCTCCTTGTCAAACATGCTTTGAACACCTCCATCCCTGACAGATGCCTGACCAACCTGAGCTCGTTCCTTTCGATGTGGAGGAGCAGCGGCACTACTCCGAGTCTCTCCTCGTAGAGTTGGACAAAATCGTATCGTGTGCAATTAATTGTCCCAAAGAACTGTCATCGATTAATATTTGACACTCTGTGGTAACTGCAAGTAGTGACTTAAATAAATCACTGTGGCAGGGAGCTAATGCTAAGCCAACTTAAAGCTAATATTACCGCAGAGCTAACACTAACGTGGAGCTAATGCTGATACCGAGCAAATGCTAATGTTTACAAGGAGCTACCACTATTATGCATCACAGAGCCCACCTCCCCACCCAGCCCTGCGCTCCCGCCCATGACTCCTGCTGGCAGAAATGGGTGGGATAAAAGCGGAAGGATGTTCTTAAAGAGACAGAGGCCAATTTCAAGGCGTTTAGAAACTGAAATGATGAGAGGTCAAGTTTATTTTCTATTTAAACATAAAAACAGCATTTTAAAAGGATCCCCGATTAGTTGCAACATTAGACTTTATTTGATAAACATTTATTTTAACTGTAAAATACAGACTGTAAAAATACTGTAGGATGTTCAGTTTTTATAATTTTTAAACTAAAACTTTAAAAATATATTACACGGACGGGGCCATTTTATTTACATGCAAAGAATTCTGGGTAAATAATGACATCAACTAGGTCATCGGTGCGAGGCTGCTAGCGAGCTATATCCACCCTGAAGGTTAATCTTGGACAATATCTGATGATCGACTCTTTTAAATGAAACCAGAGAGCGTTGACAGATAGGAGAAGGTAGAAACGATTCAGCCTGGAACTGAAAATATAGATGGACAACAGAGCTGCTTCATGGAAGAAGAACCTCAGCTTACCCTGTTAGCTTTAGCATTAGCCCCGACGTTATCACCATATATATGTATTAGCTCAGCGCTACACATTCTCCTCTCGTCACTGAGGTCCTCCATCCACATGACAGAGGGAGGAACGCAAAAATGACTCAGACTGCAACTGAAAATATGGGTGGAGGACCTCAGTTTAGCTTGTTTGTCGCACTAGTGCCGAGCTAATACATATAAGGCATTATAATGTGGGCGCTAGCGCAAAGGCTAACAGGCTAAGCTGAGGTTCTTCTTCCATGAAGCAGCTCTGTTGTCCTCCATCCATATTTTCAGTTKCAGGCTGAGTCATTTCTACCTTCTCCTCTCTGTCAACGCTCTCTGGTTTCATTTAAAAGAGTCGATCATCAGATATTGTCCAAGATTAACCTTCAGGGTGGAAATAGCTCGCTAGCAGCCTCGCACCGATGACCTAGTTGATGTCATCATTTACCCAGAATGCTTTGCGTGTAAATAAAATGGCTCCGTCCATGTTAAAATATATTTTAAAAAAATTTACAAAACTAAACAGCCTACAGTATGTTTACAGCCTTTATTTTACAGTTAAAATAAATGTTTATCAAATAAAGTCTAATGTAAACACTAATGCTAACACTATGAACTTTTTTAATCAACTGAAACACTGCCATAAACCAGAGTACAAGGAAACCTATAAAATATGGACTGAGGCTACAACAAATTGTTCTCTAGTGAACGATAGAAACAAATCCACATCTCTGAGAATTCATGATGCTCTCAGTCAATCTGCTTCTTACAAGCAGCAAAATAAGTGATTATGCGGGCCGTGGCTGTTAAAATGAAGAAGTTAATTTTGACTGATGACAGGATAACTAATTTAGAGTCAAAAACATACAAATGCGATTGTCATCTAATAATCGCCATAATATTTGTTATCAGCTAAATGTCACAATTAATCAAGGTAATATTTTTGCCAATATTGTACAACCCTTTCTCCCAGATAGCAGAACTTTTCATCTTCTCTGTAAAGGAGAGTCCAGCGACCTGCGGATAAAACTAATTTTGACCACCTGTATCTGTGATCGCATTATGCCAGTCACTACCCAGAGTTCCTGATCTCTCTTCACCACCACAGAGGATGCAATAAAGTACCAAGTTTTAGTAAAATGCCTCCTTTTCCTGCAGGGATTTTATCGAGGAGGGGGTGGTGGATTATGCCAAGAAGTACCCTGGGACTGTTGTGTACGTGTCTCCTCAGGAGGGCTGCAAGAAGCCCAAGATAGTTGCAGAATACTGTGAGTGCTGACAATAACATACTGACTTTGTTTTCTTCCGAATGTGTTGTTTTAATGTCACGGTAGTCACCTCATTATTTTCTAAAGTCCTGTAAATATATAATCATAAAAGATCACAACATAGACCTACTGTATTAAAAAAGTATTGCAGTACTGCATGTGTACTCTAGGGGGCAGTATGAGTCAGTTGTTATTTTCTGAGACTACTAAAAATAAAAAAAACTATTTACTTCATGTTTGTCCACCTTCAGTTTTATTCACATTGAGTAATCTTTGTTTTCACCCTCTTGTTCAGTAAACGGCAACATCAGAGAAGAAGATGTCAACTGTAAAACGTCAGAGGAGGTTCTGCAGCTTCTGACCAAGCTGGCCAGTCAGTCCGGCCTGGACGTCATTCGCCTCCGGAAGCCCTTCCACTCGGACAGCCCCAGCATCCAGGGCCACTGGCACCCGTTTACAAACCGACCCCCGTCCATCGGCCCCATCTGTCCGCAGAGTCCGTATGCGAGGATGGACTAAACAACATTAAAGCCATTTTCCAGAAACTAAGACCTAGTTTCCTGTTTTTGTGTCCTTCCCCCCTCCTATTAAAATATATATTTTTTCTTCTTTATTCGTAATGATTTAAAATAACGTTAAAGACCTGGGAATAGTTGTGATGGAAATAATTTTCATTTCATTCTCACCTCCTGTGTTTTAATTGATCTCCGGCAGCAGTTAGAAAGATCTCACATGTTCTCCCCAAGGCGAGCCGGCTCAGCTTGACCCAAGCAAGGACGTTAAAGGGCTCTAAATAAAGTTGCTGTTGCTAAGTTACCGCCTTGAACATTGCTCTGGAAATGGTAATTTTGGGGGCCCCCTGCCTCCCAGAGCTTCTGTTTTGCTTTAATTTTATTTATTTATTTTATTTCCACAAATCTGCCCCGACACAGTTCTGTTGGGCCGAGCTGGGATCGATTCCCTCCAGAGGCCACGAGCTGAAAACAAACGAGGATTCAGTCTGAACATGTTTTATGATTTCCCTCCAGGCTGCTCACTCATTTTTTTCTTTTTTCTTTCAGATTTAGATAATCTTATGCTGAGAAATGTAGCCATGTTGGTCAGACCTACTTTGAGAACTTGTTGAGGTGGCTACGTTCAAGTCATCCTGAATCTGATCGTCTCTAAAACGTAATCAGTTGTAGACATACATCTAAGAATTATTTCCTGTAAGTCTCGTTAAAATGTAGCTCCTGGTTTATGAGATATTTTGCTAACAGACAAACTGGATTTGTCCAACAGTTGTTGCTAAAACATAGGCAAATATTTTGCACAATGAGTAGCACTTGGAGTATATGTTAATTACTCTCAGCTACTATCACAACACATTTTGGCTCTATGCTTGTAAAATTGACAGTTATACCAATAGTTGTGTTTTCTAAGTTCGATTGGCTGTGGTGGCTATCTTGAATCGAATCAACTTTAAAAGTTAAAAAGTTGTAGGTGTACATCCAACGATTATTTCCTCCGAGTTTCATTAAGAATCCTGGGGTTCGTGAGATATTTTGCTAACAGACACCGTTACATACAGTGCCTTGCTAAAGTATTTGTCCCCCACTTTTCGACCTTTTGCCACATTTCAGACTTCAAACAAAGATATAAAAATTTTAATATTTCATGAAGAATCAACAAGTGTCATCATGAAGTGGAACAAAATTTATTGGATATTTTAAACTTTTTTAAACAAAAAACTGAAAAGTGGGGCGTGCAATATTTTTTGGCCTCTTGACTTWCAGTGCAACAAACTGACTCCAGAAGTTCAGTGAGGATCTCTGAATGATCCAATGTTGTCCTGAATGACTGATGATGARAAATYGAATCCACCTGTGTGCAACCAAGTCTATAAATGCACCTGCTCTGTGATAGTCTCAGGGTTCTGTTTAAAGAGCACCATGAAGACCAAAGAACACAKCAGGCAGGTCCGAGATACTATTGTGGAGAAGTTTAAAGACATATTTTGATACAAAAAGATTTCCCAAGCTTTAAACATGTCAAGGAGCTCTGTGCAAGTGATCATATTGAAATGAAAGCCGTATAAAATTACTGCAAACCTACCAAGACCCGACCGTCCCTCTAACTCATCTGGAACAAGGAGAAGACTGATCAGAGATGCAGCCAGAAGCGGATCTAAGATTTTTTTGAGTAAGGGGCCACAATATTTTTAGAGGGGCCAAGTATTTATTTAACATCTTTGTATACAAGTCTCTGATTTTGGTATGATGTATACACACACGTTCAAACACTTGTAATTAAAAAAATCTTGCATGTGTATTCTCCTTACATGTTTTACATACATAGATCAAATCCTCTCAAACACACCGCATGTAAGAAAATCCAGCCATTGTTTGTTGGTGGAAAGACTTTTCCTGCTAGATTGTTCAGAAGAGAGGACGACTTCTGTAAGCTTGAATCATGCTGGACTMTCCTGTTTGGCTCATTAGTGCCTCTAGTGTTTGGACATGAAACTGCACCTGCCATCAACACTCTAGGGCAGTGGTTCCCAAACTTTTTATCTTCTGACCCACAAAATATCCATGGCAAAAACTTGTGACCCCAAATATTACTGGTCTGAGTACACAAACTTCGTTAATAACCCTAAAAACACAGGCTTTTTGACAATCTAAACAGCTTGTACACAAATATAAATACGTATTTATACTTATTTTGTGTTTTTGTAATAGTTATAGGGAAATATTACATCAGCAATTGTTTTATTACCCTTTAAATAGATTTCTGGAGATTATCCAAGGTGCTTCATGACCCATAATTGGGTCCCAAGCCCAACTTTGGGAACCAAGTGCAG